TTTGTAAAACCACTTTGCAACATATTCATTTCCCTTTTTTTCTTTCTTTCTTTTTTAACTAGCTTTCTATGCTTGTTTGCACTAATTGCCAACTCCACATCTTCGGTAGTTGCCGCAGGTATATCCCCTGAAACACATCACGAGCTCCACAAAATCAGATGTGTGATAAACCAACCTTCTAGCAGTTTAGATCACTTATTGTTATGATCAACCTAGACAGAGCAATAATAAAAAAACGCAAAAAACCTAATCTAGATCAAATGTTATAGCATTACCTTCTCTTCTCTTGGTCAAATGAATTAGGACCAATGCTAGTATGAAGATCTCCTAATCGATGGAAATGAATCTCCCCCTCTCCTAATCGATCGATTCACACATGCAAGAAATTCTCAAGCGGTTCACGCATGCAAGAAGCATTATGAGGTTATATGCCATCAATTTTGAGCTTGGATGCTTTTTCAAACTCTTGTTACACTTTCAGTGTTTTCAATCAAAGGATGAAGGTTTGATGATGCATCTCAGTGGAGTTCTACAATGAAAGTACTCTTCTTCATCAAGAAGCAGTCTTCTCTATGTCAGAAATACTCTTCTTCTACGTCTCATAGGAGTTTTTCCTCTGTTGAACACGAGAGCTTGCCTTTGTCTCCAAAAGTACTTCTCCTTTGCACAGGAAGGAGTAGAACCCACGCAGGAAGGAGGAGAGCTTTTCCTTTATAGCATTTTGCTTTTGGAGGAGAACAACACAAGAAGATATGAAGTTTATTACTCGCAATTCTCAATTGAATAGAATGGGGGTTCAGACCGGTTCAATGTCACAAACGACGGAAAGATTGCCKCCTAGTATAGTCGGGTGAATGTTTTGGTTTTCTAAGCAGTGGTCTATTTTAAACTGCCACCTTACTCTTCTCTAAGGCGGGGTCTTCAAGACCACCGCCTTTGACCGGTTTTCTTGTAGTGACATGACCCTTTTTCTTTTGTTTAAAACCTCATGTGCTTATTCTCCTTGATTATATGATCATCTGAATTATAATCTAAAAAAAACATAGTTATGTTTTTCAATAATTATGCCTAATGTAGTTTACTTTTTCAATCTCTTGCATGTGGTTATACAAATTATTCTTCTTTTTTGTCTTTTACGAGTTTATTTCATTTTTAAAATTTCTTTTGCTAAGTAATCTAGTAAGATTGAATTACCAACCGCCCTAAGATGAACATGGCATTGTTAGAATGATATCATAATTGGTATTGAATAGTTGCATTTCAGAATTATTTCTTATTTCCAACAAAATTTCAACCATCAATTTGCTTAAGTTAGTTATCATTTGGTTGTGTAATCATCGAATCAGCCATGTGCTTAGAATATTATTAGATTTCTCTTTCTTTAATTTCTCCACATTAACAAAAAAAACACTCATGCTTTAGAAAATAAATTCATCAAGTTCACATTTGTTTCATCACCAGCTTGGTTACTAGTTCATTTAGAACACATGCATGCTCTCATATATTTAGCAATCAGTTTCATATTCAACAATCAATTTTAGATCACCTTCACCATCATTTTAATAGACCAATTAGTCATCATTCTTTATTGGATATCATTCCTAAGAACCCCTTGGGCAGCTCCATGACATTTAGCATATCAAGTTACTCTTCCTATTATTTTGCATTAGAGCAATAGATCATCTAGTCTTTATTCTCTTAATAAGTTTCATTGAGAATTCAGTTTTGTCATTTTTTCATTTGTATTCTTGGATTGATAGTTTATCAAGGGCCCATTTGGCAAGTCTTTTTGGGAAGATCTTTCAGTAGCTTTGACAGTCAAAAGACTCATTGAGCTTTTGCATGAAGATCTAAGCAGTCCGAAGCTAGTTTGGCAGATACACGTCTTTYTGTGCATCTTTCAGTGTCTTTCTATGCGAGAATAAAACACAAAAGACGTGAAAAGATTCATTTGGAGCTTTCCAAAATGGGCTTCTCGTGTCTTTTCAGCGCTCTGACTTTTGGTGGCTAGATCTTCCGCGAACCAAATGGGAATAGACCGAAAATCGGCCTGCCTGTCTTGTAAGCAACCGAAAGATCACACGGAAAGGCATGCCAAACGGGCCCCATGTCTTTTCTTGTGTCCATCCTTCCATCCCTCACAAGTGTGGTTAAAGGCACCATCCTCTCTTTGAATTTCGGTATGCATCATTGGCCCCTTCTATTTTCATTAGTTAATGTCTCCCTTGGATTCATATGATTTACATTAGATCAATCCTTTTTTAGCACTTTAGTGGGAGTCATTCATTGGCATTCATTTTTTTACATCACCATGCATGTGTAATTAGATAAATCATGCATGTTGTATTTAAGTCATAGCCTACCATGAATACATTTAAGGCCACAACAAATTGGAATTCCATTTGCAGTAGTCGGGTATTAAACATTCAATCATTAAAGTTCTTTAGGTATTTGCGCTTAAATGTTAGACAGCACAAGGTTATATTTTCATTACCATAGACACAATAAATCTCTTTTGATTCAACTTTCCCAATTCCCTTGCTTCCAATTATAGTTTTTCTTTTTTTAATGCAAAAACATTGTTTGCCTCCTAGATACTTGTTTTATTTCTATTCCTTCTTTCATTCAATGCTTGAAGTTATTTGTTGTTTTACTAGTTTTAAAGCCCTAAAATTGTTGGATTTTCCTTAAAACATTGGTTTAATAGAGGCCAGTTTAACCGGGTGTATGCGAGGTGCCTAAATCCTTCATGCACCTTACCTTGGTCCATGGACCCAAAGAATCTCATCCCCATTCAGCAATGAGTCACCAAGAAAACAAATTGTTTTTCTTGAAAAATTCTCAGGTTTTCCTAAATTCTCATTTCCAATAAATTTAGGTGGTGACCCCACTCCATACCATCGTCCCCCTCTGGGTCGGGTAACCACATGGGGCATGAACTTGATAGGAAAAATAACTCCTCCAACCCATGGATATTGTTGGGTCTTGGTAGCAATGGATTATTTTACAAAATGGGTAGAAGCAGCACCACTTAGAAAGGTACACATGACCAACATCGCAAACTTTATAAGATAGAACATCATACACAGGTTTGGGGTACCTATGCAAGTGTTGACAGACAATGCAATATCTTTTAAGAATTCTTAAGTGTCTGATTTGTTAAATCAATATGGTGCTAGGCTCAGACACTCCACCACATACTACCCACAAGGAAATGGTCTGGCCAAGGCAACCAATAAAGCCATCTTGAAAAAGTTAAAGAAGGTGGCCAATGAACATCAAACAAATTGCGCAGATCACTTGTCAAGCATACTCTAAACCTATAGACATTCAAGAGGAAGGTGATAGGCACATTACCCTACAATTTGGTTTATGACCAAGAAGTAGTCTTACCCATGGAAATATTGCTAGTGTCCACAAGAATTGCACAATAGCTAGGAAGGGAACATAAGTAAAAAACCATGGATGAAGCGCTTTATACTCAACTATAATACATAGATGTGGAAAAGAGAAAAAGCACTAACAAAGCAAATAACATACAAACAACAGATAGCAACACATTACAACGAGTTGGTAAAGAAAAGAGAATTCAAAGAAGGAGACCTAGTTTTGAAGGTAGCTCTACACATTAGATAGGTAAATTTGCTAAGAAATTCACCACGAAGTGGCAAGGACCATATGTTATCAAAGAAGTAGTTCTACAGATTCGTTATTATGTGCTAATTATGTGCTTCAAGACTTAAATTGTATCATCCATGACAAATGATAGAATAACAAAGTGTTTTCAGACTTTCTTTTATTATATATTATATATTACTATATTTTTTGTGGCAAATATATATATATATATATATTATATACAAGGCCATTTACTAAAACACCATCTATAGTTTCATGGATTTACAAAAACCTACCTCATAGTTTGTGTTTTACTAAAACATCCTCTATAATCAACAATCAATTTACTTAATCGACCTTCCATTAGATGAAAGTGGAAAATGGCTGTTTTAACACTAACATCTATTCAAATAAGTTTAATCAAAAGAAGCTAAAAACAAATTTGCATGTCATTTTTGCCCCTAGTAAAACATGGACAATCACTTTATTTTTCTCTAGTTGGCCCAATTTTGTTTTCTATACAAAGAAGTGTTAGTGGTACTTTTGGAATAAGCAACCATGAACCACCTTTGAACATTTTCCACTTAGTATTGGGGTGATTGAACCGTGGGCTTATTTTTGAAACTGAACCAGGGTTGCCGAAATCGAACCGAACCATGGAAATCCAGTAACCAAAACCGAATTGAAGTCGATCAGTTAATCGGTTGACCGATTCGGTTAACCATCGATTCGGTTCATCGGTTTTTCATTTTTTTATTATTTACAATATATATTATAGAAAAATATATAAATATAATAAAATACTAGAAATATATATAAAATATTATATTTTAAACAATAAATAACATATTATATACTAAAAATTTATTTATTTATATATAATGCATATTTATTAATTTATAATGTATAAAAAATAAAAAATATATTTAATATACACAAATATACATAATATATATAAATATAGTTATATCGGTCGGTTCGCTTAACCGCTAATTTTCTATTTTGGTTAACCGAAACCGAATCGGTACCTTTGATTTTTTTAAATCACAAACCGAAACCGAATCAATTAATTCGATTTAATTTTGGTCGATTCGGTTTTTCGATTTTTCTTGCTCGCCCCTACTCACTATAGGGGTACTTTTGGAATAAACAGCCATGGGTTTTAACTTTGTTTAGATGATTATATTACTATTTTTATAGAACAAATGTGTTGAATTATAGGGAGTGTTCTAACAAATAACCCTTATATATTATATATATTTCGTCTACGGTTTACAGTTTGGTTTTAAAACGAACCGAACTGAAAATTACAATTCAGTTCGGTTCGGTTTGGCGGTTTGAACCGTACAATGAACACCGCTACCATTACTACTGTACTACGATCCTTTCTGGACTCGAGAGTCGAGATTTTGAAAGAACAGTTTTCTCTCCTCTTCCGGTGTCATCCCCGTCTTGTAGAGTTTAGAAGAGTAAAACGATAAAAGGAAGCAAGAGGGGGTTCACATCAATGTCTCCGTAAATTGGTGACCAGAGGAAAATCACGAGGTTAGGTTTCTTCACTCCATCTCTAAATTATCTTTCAATTCTCTCTTATTTTTCTCTATCTGGGATAGCTCCTGGTTCCTTGATTTTTTCTCATATACATCTTGTTTTCCTTTTCTTTGATCAGTTTTGATGGAGAACAGGAGTTGTTGAAAACCTTAGTTGCACTACAACAGGTTGAATTGCAGTTCGAGTAACTTGGATTGAGTTGGATGCCAAAGATAATTGTTTAGGGTTCTTATTGGTTCTTGGCTAATAGATGAATTATCTCGTGGTGTTGTTTAGGGTTGTTTGAGTAAACTTAGCGCAAGAATATCTTATTTGAACTAAATAATATTTGGGCCTTTGGGGTTCACAGTTGGTACTAAAGAAACAAGAATTTTGGGAGTATGAATTAGTTATGAGAAAATTTCAATACCGTCGAAGATCATGACATCGGGATGGAGTTGGTGCACAATATTGTCAATATCATAGATTCTGCCTTGTTATTAACACCTTGCTGAAGATAGCAAGTGTTCAAGGATTTCCTTCAGGTCAAGGGACACCTAGGCGGGTGCCTAGGCGACAAGGTACCCTTTGAGGCTCGCCTCGCCTAATCGCCAAGCAGTTTTTTACTTCCTACTATAAAATACTTTTTTGTTCATTCATTTTTGAGATTATGATTATAAAATAGACATTAGTAAACTAAAATAATCATTTTGTGTGTTTATATGCTATTTTTTATTTTTTTCTTATTTATTAGGGTTTAATCAACACAAACATTGCTAAATGCTGTATTGAACCCTAAGACTTCAAAACCTGAACCAATAAGTAAGGAAGAACTTAAAATTTTATCTACTACTACTACTACTACTATCACTTATTATTTTCCTCTTTTCCTATAACAAAAATAAGGGTTCATCCCCTATATTTTTTGAATTTTATTTTTCTTATTCTTTTTCTTCTCATGAGTATGTTGATTTTCTATACTTTAATATGAACTTTATACTTTTCTTATGAAAATTATGAATAATTATTAAGGAAACATGGTTATGGTACCTAGGGAACTACCCTAGGATCTATGTTTCAACATAAAAAAATCCATCGCCTAAGCGCCCACCTAGGCGACAAGGCGCCCCCTGTCGCCTAGCCTCGCCTTGGTGCCTTGAAAGCTATGATTTTATGTACTTTATACTTTGATATTTTTAAGAGTACAAAAGTAGAAGTCTATTCAAACAACACCTTAGTTTCAGGTACCTTATAAGGTCAGCTGTGACAGTTATTCATAAAAAAGGTCATTTGTTACAGTTCAACCTTATTCTACGTATATGTACCAATCTCCGGTTCCTAGAAAAAGAAAAAAGTTTATAATTTATTTTGGAACTTGCGTTTATATCCTACTAATCTTTAGGGAGAAAAATATTTGTTTTTCTTTTTTCTTTATTACCAAAAGAATCCACTATTTACCCTCAGAGAGAAAATTGACAAAAAGAAAAAAAATTGCAATGATGAGGTTCAGAAATGGATCATAGTCCTTAGTTGAAATTGCATGCATTGAGTAAATCCAAGGTTCAAAGTATCGATACGCCCTTGTGTGTCGGCAGGGGCGTATTGGTACTAAAAAGACTCACCGCTCAATGTTTTTTTTAGTTTTTTTTTTTTTCAAAATTTGATTTTTGGTGATGTTTTATGTATTTTTTTATTGAAATAAATGGGGGTCCAGAAACACCTGTAAATAGGTGTATCGAGACCAAAAGATACGATACAATACGTCCGATACGGGGCGTATTGTATTGATACTTTGAACCTTGAGTAAATCATAAGATTCACAGGTTTAATTTTTATACTCATATGATAATTATAGATTCTTTTAAGAGGATGACTTACTAGTAAGTTCAAATTTCAGCCCAACTAAAACATGCATTGTAAGGTTTTGACACTACTTATTTCAAATGAAATTTTAACGCATGGTCCTATCTGGCCTGCTAAAATAATCACATCATACTGCCGGCATGGTGAGAAAACATGCCAATGATTCCATCCAGCCCTGGATTTTGCGGAGAAATATTATTCAACATCAGAAGGTAGTGCACCAGTCCTCAATAATCTCCTTTGTGATATAGCAATGTACAAACAAATATGGGGGAGGAAAAAACCAGAAAGAGTACTGAGGTCTCTTGACAGATTGCACTGCAGATCCCCCTAAACTATCTCCTTATGAGAAGAGACATTTGATATTAGAAATGGTAGGGTTGCACAACTTTCATGATGTTGTAATTTCCCTTTCTTTTGTTAAAACTTCCCTTCTCATCTTCTTTTCATCTCATATGTGGCATATAGGGTTTGGAAACTCCAGATTCACAATTCTGTCAGGTTTTATGTGCAGTTAGGTTCAGAGTCCAGATCAATACACAGGATTAGTTGGGAGGTTGTTACTAGAACTGAGATTGTTGGTGGATTAAGCATAGGAAATATTCAAAAAAGAAGTGAGGCTCTATTGGGAAAATGTTATGGAGATTGACAATGTATAGCAGTATAGGGATGAGTTGTGGGCCAAGGTGGTTCTAAGTATTCATGGGCAAGCAGCTAATGTTTGGCAGTTTGGGATGCAAGAGTATTGGCTAGGGCCACAAGAGCTTCTCCTTGGAAATCTATTCATGCCTTTCTACCATCTTTCTTGCCTTTTATTGGGTATGACTTGTGCTTTGGAAATCGTGTAAAATTTTGGGAGCATATTTTGGTGGGGGACTCATCATTGGAAGAACAATATCCTTCCTTGTATTCCCTATCAAGTTTTAAAAATGAGTTTGTCTGCTTTTCTGGTTCCTTCTGGCTCAAGTTTTGGGAGTGGGATTTGGGTTTTAGAAAGGTATTAGAGTCTCTGAATCTGACAATATTTTGGCCTTGATTCAAATACTGGAAGGAATAGTGTTAGATCCTTAAACTATGGATAACTGTATTTGGACTTTATCTTCCTCTGGTGCCTTTTCTTGTGCCTCATTCTTCAAAACTCTAGTACAACCCTCTGATGGTTGAACTGGTCAAGGGAATTTGGGGTAAATTGATTCTTCCCAGGATTAGAGCCTTTTGTTGGGAAGTTTTCCTGGAAAGGTGCAACACTTGTGGTTTGCTCCAATTAGTTTTTGCTTTGATAGAAGAAAAAATCTAATTGGTTTTTTCTGTCCTTGTGAAATCTGAAGTTATTGATACAAAAAAGACCTAATTGGTGCTTATCCCTGAATTGGTGCATCCTTTATAAGGATAATGGTGAGACTTGCTATCATTTATTAATCTCTTGACCATTTTTTCAGTTATTTTGGATTGGTTTCTATCTTTGTTTGGTTGCAGGTAGACCCCCCTTTCAAATATACAAAGTTTCTTTGTTTCATTCTCTGTCAAGTGGTCAAAGAAGAGGGGTAAAGTATTATGGAGATGTACAAGAGTTGCTAATTGTTGGACAATTTAGGAAGAAAGGAACCAAAGGATTTTTTTCCTGAAAAGGAAAGAAGTAGAGATGCCATCATTGAAACCATACTGTTAGAGTGGTTTACTGGGTGAAGTCTTTGGATATATTTGAGGATATCTCTGCAGATGGTCTGTTTAGGAATTGGAAAGAAGTGGCTAATTCAGCCCCTCTCAAAACTGTGAGTTGTCTCCTTTGGTTTCCACCAGATGGTGGTTTCACTAAGTTGAATTTTGATGGAAGCAGTGAAAGTAACCCAAGTCCATCTGGTATTGGAGGAGTTTTCAGGGACATGCAAGGGAAAGTTATTGCTTTAATTTGAGGCTGTATTGGTGTAGGTGATTCACTTATAGCTGAGATCTTCGCAGTAATGGAGAGATAAAAAGAGCAAAGGAAATGAATATCAGAAAATTGATGTTGAATGTGACTCAAAGCTGGTTTGGAAATTTGCCGATGAAAAAAAAAGAAGTTTAAGTGGATGGCCCAGGACATGGAGATAAAACTGCAGTGGTAAAGAGAATTGCTAATTCTTTAAGGGATAGTTTATTTTGGAATTTGTTTTAATTTGAACTTCTATTTGGGGAGGGTTAAGAGAGTTTATCTCTCCCCTTGTTTTCTTGTATCTGTTTCATATTAATATTTAATAAAAGTTTAAGTTATTGATAAAAAAAAGGAAAAAAGAAAAACTAATGATGGCTCAGTTGGTAACTAGCAGAGACTTGAGATCAAATCCTGTTGCCACGGGGGTTGGGGGCTTGGGGGTTGAGCTGTATATTTCCCTGTGTATAGCAACCAGTTGTACAGGGGCTTTTTGCCTTTTGATATTAGTACAAAACATTACCTGTTTCAAAAAAAAAAAAAAATCTGATATAAAGGCCATTACCAAAAGTTGGTCCCAGCTATCTGGGGTCTTGGGAGTGGTAGAATATACAGATGTAACCTTTGCCATTTTTTTATTCACACAAAGTAACTGCTCTCCAACTTGAAGCTGTGTTCTTACACTTGTCACCTGATATTTTACCATTACACCAAGCACTGACACCCAGTTTTTTTGTCAGATTTGCATATAGCTGACTTCATATTAGTTGGGATAGAGCTTGGATGATGATGATGATGGTGTGCATATAATATCAAATGGCCCTTAGTTAATTCTGTGAGTATGTTGTACTAATATCATTTTTGGAATGATATTTGTATTTATCAAAAAAAAATGTTTATTCTTGGATATGGTCCTGTGGCATGTGAAAAATGAAGGGTTGATAGAAGGCTTACACTAATTATTGTTCGTTGCATGTTTGCCTGAATTAGTTTCTGAAAGTGTTGAGAGGGGTCAAAGGCAGGGGGTGGGGTGAGTCGGGGAGGGGGAGAGGAGAGATATTAGTTTTTGAAACATCAAGAGTAGAAGACAAGAGTACTATGGATTCTTCTGATATTTTTCTTTTCTCATTTTCTTGTTTAGGTTCTAGCCTTTGGGTATTAAGTAAATCATTCTTTAGCTCCAATGGCGCTTCAAGCAAGTCTTGCTAAGTTCAAGCAGCAGCAAGAGAAGTGCCAATCTACACTCACCAATGTAGCTCGAGCAGGAACACCAAAGCCCACCCAGAAAGTCACAATTGCAAGCACTCCTTCAGCTTCTGCAAGAGCTCCTGTTGCTCCAGTGAGATTCTCTAATGACACAGAAAGGCTTCAGCATATCTACAGCATAAGGAAGTCTCCTGTTGGTGCTCAGATCAAGCGTGTTATAGACCTACTTCTAGAGGTAAGGAGGAGTATTCAGGTCAGTTATTTATGAGCGTGCACCTGCTTTTAAATATTTAAAGACCATATACACGTGTATGCATGCATTTTTTATCCGTAGGAGTAACTAGGATGTAGGTGAAATGGGAAAAACCCTAAAATGTTTTATATTGTGTTAAGATTGGGAAATCAGATTTTGGATGGGGTAGGAGAGGAAGAATAGTAGGATTTCAGATCTAAAATATAGAAGAGAAAAAGGAAGAGAAAGATAGGGAGAAAAAAACGAGCATACACCTCATAATATTAAAACTTTGAATGTTTATTTTATTTATTCATTTATTTTTCATTCCATTGAAATTATGGGCCTTTTATAGATATGGACAATAGGGTTAGGCCAGCCCTTACAATAGATTCTGGAATAACCATGCCTTTTTTCCTCCTGCCATTTGCTGAAGCCCCCCACCTATAAAATGGCCATAGCTTTCTTGATTTACATCAGATACACAAGATCTTAGTCCTGTTAACTGGAAACCTATCTAATGACACCAAAACAATCAATGACAAACTTTGACCCCTAAAACGTAACTGTAAATAATAATCATTTAAAAAAATATTTAATAAAAGTGACAAGATTTCAACATTAGGTCTAAGAGAACCTTGTGGATCCCAAATAAGAGCCAATCAATACCTCATAAAACTTCTAAATAACATGAAATTTCTTATTTGATAGATAAACATTTACTTGACTTGTTAAAGTCCTTGTTATCTATCAAAAAAAAAAACATTTACTTGACTCGTTAAAATTCAAAAATCAACCCAAATTCAGAAGTAGACAATGTATAACCCCTGGAGCCCAGGATAAGTGATTTCTGATTTCTCTCAAACAAATGAGTGGACTTGGGATCTAAAGTAGCTGCCATGCTCATTTGACCTCATAGAGAGAATGGTTGGATTTGTAAGTTAATTGGGCACAGATATGAATATGTTTCCCATCATTTATCAGGTGGGGGGGAATAGGAGTCTCCATTTCCTGAAGTCCTGGACACAGGTACAGATAGCTTCTAATCGCTTATATCATGCATTTATTTTGACGATAAATGTAATTTTTCAACACTTATGCCTTGCCAAATTTAATTAAATTTCTAACATGTGCAGATTTTTCTTATAGTATAATTTTAGACATACTATATATTTTATAAGTGTTAATGCTATAAAGTAAATTTAGAAGTATCTATTGCAGTATATGGTACTGTATCATATCCAGCACTAGTATGCTATGCTGTAGAGGTATCCCAGTATCCTAGTTTTTTTCAGATTCTTATCTGAGTGATGTATTATTGTTGGGGTTATTTATTTGGGATGCTGCTGGGACTGGGTTTTCTACAGCTTTGTCTTGTGCTTTGCCGTAGCTAATGGATTCTGTGTAGCATCAAGTCTAGTTGTTTATTCCTTGTATTCTCTTCTTTCTTATGAAGTTTGGAAATCTTCTTCGAGGGCACCTTTCTGAGGATGCTTTCAAGTTCTTTCTATGAGCAGTCAGGTGTCTTTATCTTTGAACATTTTAGCCTTTTAGGGGAAAATTGTACTTTTAAAGAATCAATGCAGTTGTTGCAAGATCTCATGGAAAGTTTATGATTCATTCTATGGTTCTTTGCAGACACGACAGGCACTCACCCCAGAGCAGATAAATGAAGCATGTTTTGTTGATGTGAACGCTAATAAAGCTGTCTTTGACAGCTTGACAAATAACCCTAAAGTCAATTATGATGGAAGGTGTTTCTCTTACAAGGTCAGTCTTGCTTTCTTTCCCAGGGATCTAAGTGCTCATTTGGKATGACTTTCACATTGCTGCTTTTGTTTTGTAATGTGGGGCCCACCTGGGGAGTCTATGAAAATATGTTTGGTAAAAATCCAGAGAGCCCATTTCAATTATTTTTGAGCTACTTATGTGGCTTTCTGTTGAAGCTTCTTTTTGTGGCTTCTTCAAAACAGTTAACTAAAGCATAGGCCTTCACAAATGGGGCCTAAGAATACCAACATGTCATATGTAATATAAGGTTGGACTATGCTGAGGAACTTTTGAGGCAAGTTCTTTCTCAAAAAATATTTTAGATGGATAAATAGATGAACACTCATTGTCTGGAAATTTTCCAGTTAATTATGACAATTTGTTTTTGTATTCTTGTACAGTCAAAGCATGATGTGAAGGACAAGAACCAATTGCTTGTCTTAATACGGAAGTTACCAGAGGGCATTGCTGTAATCGATCTGAAGGATGCATACCCAACTGTAATGGAGGATTTACAGGTAGCTTTAAACCATATGTTGTTTATGCATTTTATCTTACATGATAAAAGTGCATGATCTCATTGTGTAAAAAAATATGAATGGTATGTATCTTATTATCATGTGTAGCTTGTTATTATGTGTATATCATTATTGTGATTTTGGATTTGCTGAATGTGATGGCTGTTCAGGTGGCTGTGGAACCAATGATAATATTCCACGCCAGTAATAAATTCATGGGCCCCACTGTGAAAGATGCAGGTCCCATATATTTATTACTGGTGTGGAGCATAATCATTGGTTCCACAGCCCGCTGAACAGCCATCGCATTCAGCTAATGCTTGCTCCATTATAGTTTGCTATTACCCTTATTAACTCTAATTATGCTGATAGCTCTGTGCCAAATGGAGAAACCACTACCTATCAGATGGACAGCTTCATAAAAATTTGTCATTTCGATAATTTTATCAGGCAATCTGCCTGATTCTGGGGGGTTGTCAAAATTATAGATTACACAAAATTGTTAAATAAGTAAATGCTGAGAATCATCTGGTTAGTGCTTTGGGATGAGAAGATAAGCCTATGGTTGGTAGGTAATCGGTTGGGGATACTTTAACCCCAACTTTTTTCATGTTACACTTACCCTAACCTGCCTTTCCCTGCAAAATGTAATAGGAGGACTAGTGCCAAACCCCTCTGGGATGGGATCAGCATTGCCAAAACCATTATGATCTGCCCCTCCTTGTGGAAGATAGGATAGAGAATAAGTACGACCATTAAAAGGAAAAAACTACAGATTATCAAAAAAAAAGGAAAAAACTACAGATAATATTTTAAGTTCATGTATGTTAATTAATTTAAAAAGGAAATATTATCTAGTAGAAGAACTAAAAAGCAAAGGAATTTTATGACTCTCAAGTGTATAGAGAGCACATGGAATGTCTATTTTGTACCTATCATAGTGATGCTGGGGGCCTTGACTTTTCCATAATTTATTTCTTCTGTTGGGGAAGATGAGATGAAGTTATCACACAACCTAAAAAGGGGCAGATTGAGTGGAAGATGGAAATGGGGATCTATTGGTTTGTTTTATATACTGAAACACTTTGATTTGTGAAATGATCAAAGTAATCTCCATTAGGGTCCATTGCCTGGTGTAATTGTAAAATCGGGCTAGCAAGCATAAAAATGTGAGTTCGAGTCTGAAAGTGGATGCTTTGTAACAAAAAAAGAAATGCCAGAGGCTAGGGCTGTATTATTTTCATTCTACCCCTCCCAGGACCCCTGATAGCTGGGGTCAACATTGGGTAATGGCCTTTATCAAACTAATCTCCATTACTTATTTCATACTTGATAGGATAGTACTTGTTAAAACCAAAAAACCAAGCCAGCCCTAATCCTACATAGGTCAGCCCTCTGAAAACCAAACCCATCCTTGTGCTCCAAACCTGCCCTAATTGGAGTTGGGAGTTGCAGATCTCCCATTTAACATTTTTTTTTTTGATGAATAATGAGTGGTTTTATTAAAAATTAGAATTATAAGAGATACACAAGAGAAGGTCCCAAAAAGAGGCGCAAGATGTAGCCTCAGATCAAAACAAAGAAATACAGCTTATAGATCAAAACATCTGATTCCTATGCAGCTCTTGTTTAGCTAGTGAGTCTGCTAACCCATTTGCAGATCTTCTTTCCCATTGGAAAGGGGCTGACATGTTTGTAGTTAGCCATCTGAATCTTCGTAAAATTATAGGACCAGGCTGCTGTTTCTGGCTCTTTTAACGACTGGATCACCAGCTTGGAATCACCTTCAATTAGGAGCTCTTCACAATTCAGTTCTTTGGCAAATTCAGCTCCTTGTAATACAGCCTGAATTTCTGCATTAACTGAATCCCCTACTCCTATAGGGCCAGATAATAGAGCGATAATTAACCCTCCTGCATTTCTAAACACCCCCAATATCGGAAGGTCCTGGATTGCCTAAGCTGCTACCATCAAAGTTGTGCTTAAGATACCCTCTGCAGAAAGTAGTTTTTTTTGAAGAGTAAAATGAAAAAAAAATTATAGATAGAAAAGAAAATGAGATAAACCCAACCAAGGGTGTTAAGATTTCACCCGAACCAAATACCGCAATAGGAGATTACAAGACACAAAAACTAACAAAAGAAAACAAGGGGCCCCACTTAATGCATAATGTCTAGTCTTCAGAATCAAACGCCTCGTCACATCTGTCATCATCCTCATCCCAAATTAAATCCTCTTTCCGTTGAAGATTCTTCTGCCCTCTCTCTTCCTTTTTCCCCCTTTTCAAATATTTCGAAAACTCTTCACCTCCCCAAAAATAAGCTCTAAGCTCTGCTTTTTCCCCCTCCTTAATTTTATCAGCATGTTGAGACAAAACTAAACTATTCTCATCTGCTTGGCTTCCTTCCTCCTTTTCATCCCTTGACTCCTTCCTGACCTCTAGATCTTCCCTTATCAAGGTTGATGTAACCTCTCCTACAACTTGAAGGTCCTCCTCCCTCCTTTCATCACCCTTCTTCTTCGATTCCAGAACTTTTAATTTCTTCCTCTTGTAAACTCTTTTATATTTATTGGAGGCTCCTGCCCCAATAAATCCATCTTTTAGCCTTGAAAAAACCTTTGACATGTGGACAAAGTGAGTCTTATTTGCCTCTTTGGCTTTTTTCACCCCTTTTGAAGATTCAAGGTCTCCTTCCTTGTGAACACATCTTCTCTGATCTAAATGAACTCCAATCCTGCCGACTACGATTTCTGCCTTTTGAAACCTCACGTTCTAAAGCCGAGCCAGAATTGTCATCCTTGTCCAGAGCCTCTTTCTCAATCTCACCCTCAACACAGTGTCTCTTGATGTCAATCCCTTCCTCTCCATCTCTGCCTATCACTTCTTCCTTCTCCTCCCCTTCCCCCCTGGCCCCTTCACCACTTCCCCAGAAACCACCTCCCTTCCCTCCGATTGAATTTCTGAGCAAACTAACCCTCTGTCCTTTTCCAAACTTCTTTGATGCGACGAGAAGGAAGAGAAGGAAGAAGAGGAAGGAAACTCGACTTTGAAATCACCAAAACACAGAACAATACCTGCTTGCTGACCATAACTCGACTTCTCAATCCTCCCTTCGCTGCAGTGATTCCCCGGATCAGGCCCTTAAGTTGTGCTTCCACTGGGATCTGTCTCCTCCTGGTTCTTATGCACAATCCATTTCTGCAGATCTTCAGACTGAAACACACGCCAAGCTCTTCGGCTCTGCTTAAATTTTCTCTCTTTCAAAATCCCCAGCCTGAGACGAGGAGTCTTTGAAGTTTCCCCAGCTTTCTTGACTGCACTGTCTTTCGAAACTCGAACCTTGTTCGAGTGCTCACCTTCTTTATCTCCCCTAGATGCCTCTTCGTCTTCTGACAGTCCTGATTCCACTCTCTCTTTCAACTCCCCTATCCTCCCTTTAATTTCTCCTTCCATGTGGACCCCCAAACTCTCCTCTCCCCTAACACCACTGTCTTTTAATAAAAATAAACTCATCGTCTCTGCCCCACTTAAGTTTAAAGTCTTCTCATCATTCAATATCGCATGGGCCCCACCACTTTTGATATTTTTTGGGACTTCCTTCTCATTATTCTTAATGCTGCCCAAGGACAAGTCCCTAGATGCACTAATATTAAATTTATTTCCAAAATTACTATCGTCTTCAACCTTGCCTCCTTTCCCTTCGAACTATCTGTTTGTCTTCCCACCACAAGCTCTGGAACACTGCCGGACCTTCTTGGCCTCCTCACTCCATATCTCCATGTTTTCAATCCACCTTGTTGGGGAAGACCCTTCTATGACCAATCTTAAATCGAAGATTTCTCCAGCAAACCGAAGAGACAGGGAAGTGGGAACAAGGTGGATCTCTTCAATTAACCTTGTGCCATTTCCTTCCCTAGAGGTCCATTAATTTAGTTGACCAGAGTGAAAGGTTATCTAATCTGTTTGAATGGGGTCTTCCTACACAAAACCATCTATTTCTGCCATATGGCAACTTGTTCCATCATATTAGTTGACATCGTCAATGTGTCTCACCTTGTATTGGTGACTTTTTATATGTTTTAAATGATTTTTGTTGCAGCTAAGAACTATAAGATGGATCTATCAATAATCTATTAAACTCATTAAAACAATAATTTGTCAAATCTTTTTCTCATTGTGGGGATAACAGGTTTAAGGATTAATTGGACCAAAACAGGCATTGTAGGGATCAATATGGAGGAAGGGGAACTTAACAGATTCACAGAGATTTTGGGGTGTGAGATTAGAAGTTGGCCAACTAGCTATTTGGGGTTACCTTTAGGTGGTAATCCTAGGTCAGAAGATTTTTGGAAGCCAGTCATTGAAAGATTTGCTAGGAAGCTAGCCCTTTGGAGGAGGAATTACATCTCTCTTGGTGGAAGGATAACACTGATCAGAGCCACATTGGCAAACCTCCCTGTTTACTTCCTCTCAACCTTTAGAGTACCCTGTAGAGTGGCAAAGAGGTTAGAAAAATACATAGATTTCCTTTGGGACCCAGGAGAGGAGAGGAAGAATCACTTGATTAATTGGGATCAAGTTAGAAAGCCCAAGGATAAAGGGGGTTTGGGAATAGGAAATATTTCACTTAGGAACTCAGCTTTGTTAGGAAAATGGTTGTGGAGGTTCCCTTTTGAGAGAGATAGGCTGTGGCACATGGTTTGGATGGGAATGGTTGGGATGTAAAAGTCGCCCCTCATGTATCCTCTTGTTCTCCTTGGAAAGCTATTTATGAAATTTACCCAACTTTCCTTAATTCCATTTGGTTTGATGTGGGCCTGAAGGAAAATGAATGTGCATCTTTAATTCACTTGCTGGATCTTCTAGGACAAGTTCTTTTGGACCTGCCCTTGGAAGATTCCAGAATTTGGAAAGGCTCTGCAGATGGCCTCTTCTCTTGTTCCTCTTTCTTTAATGTTCTTGCCTCACCTAGCAACCCAGCTGGGGACTTCCCTATAAA